TTGCCTACATGTGATTTTTAGTGATTTGTCCCAATTAAATGGTAAAAGGCTCAATTTACATGTAAAGTGTAAACACCACCACAATCTGTTTGCACCCACCTCATGTGCAGCTTCCAGCTATTCCAACTGGCTGGGGCAATCAAAAGGCAGTGTCAGACAGAGGCCACCTGGGAGGACTGCAGCCTAAATCCCCATTAGGCCATCTAAAGAGTAAGGCATCCTGAATGTTTTTGTTTATGTTACAGGTCATTGTACAAAATTTTTGTTCATTTAATCTGGCAAACCCACTTGTAATACTGGCCAAGGTTTTGGAAAAAAAAAAAAAATTAACACAAGCTTTTATGTACTTGGCATACCATGAATTGCATTGTCATAGGGGAACCTGGTTCTGACCTCAGACAAAAATCATGTTATATCTTGGTATTGAAGATATTTTTTGAGGTTACACACAAGAAGTTGCCACAAGTTCTCGTTTCCCCAGAAACTGGTTAACACCTCCAAGTTTACAGAGCCAGTTTAAGCAAATTTGAACTGATGCTGAATTGGTTGCAATAAAGATTGACACCAGTTCTGACCTTCCCAATCAGCGCGTGTCTGCAAAGATACTCATCTCATTTTGAAGATTTTCCTCAGCATTTCTTTATAACAGATCTCTGCTTACATTATTTTACACAGTCTATCACAAATTACATTGTATTACTCTATTTTGTAGAATAGTTTCACTTTTGTCCAATACATCTAATTAGCTGTTTTTTCTTCCATGTCCACCTATTCATATAATCAGAAAGACTGGCTGATCAAAAACTATCCTTTAAAGCCTACACAGCAACATAAACTCCAAAAATGTCCCTGAAAGCCTTCACATTTTTTTGTAAGCTGTATCTTCATTGCTTTTCTGTTCAGTTGATATAAATTTCTTCCTTCCTCAAAAAATGTAATCTTCCTGGATTTCAGTAAAGCTTTCAATAGTCTCTCACAGTATGCTTCTGGACAAAATATCCAGCACAAATCTGCTTTCATACTTTAGTTTAAAGATCAGTAATTACTTTTGTCACTAGAAGTTAATTTCATTGATCAACATTCAAAATTAAATGTATTAAGATGTTCTTCCAAAAAAAGTATTCAGGCTTCACTAACCAATTTAGTTTTGGGGTTGGGGCATAGGATAAAGTGTATGTGTGTGTTCAGGGGTTGTACAAAGGGATTGTTTAAATTACTTCGTAACATCATGCAAGAGGTGAGCACCTGGCTCATGGGTCAGGCACAAAGGGTTACTGTGAATGGGGTGACATATGGCTGGTGACCTGTCACTTGTGGGTGGGGTCCCACAGGGCTCCAACCTCTTCCCTTGGCTCTTCTACATCTTCATGAATTACTTGGACACAGGACTGGAAGGGATACTGAGCAAGTTCACAGCCGATACAAAACTAGGAGCAGCTGCTGACTCCCTTGAGGGCAGGGAGGCCCTGCAGAAAGACCTCAACAAATTATAGAACTGGGTGATCACCAACCATAAGAATTTCCACATGGGAAAATGCCAGATTCTGTACCTGGGACAGGGCAACCTTAAGAGACAGACTGGGGAATAAGATCCTGGAGAGCAGTGCCATGGAGAGGGACCTGGGGGTCCTGGTCCATGACAAGTTGAACACGAGCCAGCAGTGCCCTGGCAGCCAGGAGGGCCAACCCTGTCCTGGGGGGCATCAGGCACAGCATCACAGCTGGGCAAGGGAGGGGATTGTCCTGCTCTGCTCTGAGCTGGGGCAGCCTCACCTCGAGTGCTGGGGGAGTTTTGGGTATCACAATATAACATTAAACTGTTAGAGAGCAGCCAAAGGAAGGCCACGATGGTGAAGGGCCAGAAGAGGAAGCTGCATGAGGAGTGGCTGAGGTCACTTGTTCAGCTTGGAGGAGACTGAAAGGAGACTTCACTGCAGTTACAACTTCTTAGTGAGGAGGGTCAGACACTGATCTCTTCTCTGTGGTGACAGGGCCCAAGGGAATGGCCTGAAATTATGTCCAGGGAGGTTTAGGTTCATATTAGAAAAAGGATCTTCACAAGAAGGAGGCTGGGCCCTGGAACAGGCTCCCCATCAGCCTGGAAGAGTTCAACAAGCTTTTGGACTACTCTCCCAGGCACATGGTGTGACTCCTGGGGATGTTGCTGTGCAGGGCCAGGACTTGGACCCAGTTGGTATGCCTACCAACATGGCATATCCTGTGATTCTGTGATCACTATGGAATGTGATTTCAACTCAGCCACTCAAATAGACTTTACTACTTGTTTTCCAACATCTGGCATACAGGTAAATTAACTTGCACAATGTTTCCAAGGCTTGAAAAGTGTGCGTAGGGGAAGCTGTTCCCTGCAACTGCTTTTTTCCTACTGCTGAAAAAGACACTCACTTTTTAGGAAAAAAATGTATTCTTACCCTTGATCCTGAAGCTTGAAACCCTAGCTGAAAAAATAACTGAGTGGATTTCCACAATGCTGTTACACCAAATACCTAACAGAGTAAAGTAATTCAGTTCCCCTGTTCATGCCTAATACATAAAAAATCCCCTCTGATTAAGCTGTATAGTATAATTCCTAATAATAATTCAATTCAGTATAATTCCTAATAATAAGTCAATGGCAATGTACTGTGGGGATGAAAATACAATTTATACTGTCATACATATTTCCATTAATGTATATGTATTCCAGATATGTCCCAGCAAAAGGAAATCTTGGCAAGCAAAGACTCGGTCTCTGAAAGGTGATCAGTATTTCTAAAATATAATATCAGCAACTAGCTACACCCAATCTTTCCTAGGGACCAAATAAGAGATGAAAAAAATATATATATTTAAGCACTTAGATCCAAATTTCTTCATTTCAGAGGTCCCAGTTGTAGAGGTAAGTAAACAATTGGAACTGAATTCTTTTAAATCAGCTTTCTAAAACACTTTAATTTCTGCTTCTGTTCATGCATACTGTTCTCCAGGCCACAACATCAAGAACCAGCTAGGTGTCCAGCACTTTCAGAACCCCCAAACTTTTTTTTTCTCTCTGCCCTGCTTTTGGTATAATTGTTGTTTTCCTTAGGTATAATTGTTTTTACAGTGCCTAATAGATCAAACTATGACTGGGAATGGATTTTTGTTTTTTTAATTCTAGCCAAAGTTCAACAGTACTACATAAAACCTCATCTGCTGGAGTACTTATCAATGGCTATACATGGTCAAGTCACTGGGCTTGGTTTCTCCTTAGGAGCTATTTTGACAACTAATGTAAATTTAAATGTAAAATATATTGGATAGACACAAACAGTTGATAATCTTATATATTTGATTTTCTGGTATCAGATTTTTCCTTAAAATGTGAAGCTTATATTTGGTAAACCAGGAAATTTTTTGATCATTGCCAGTTTTAATCCTCTTGTGACCAGCAGTTCTAGAGAGATTTCTGAATAAAAGCCAGATCTTGATTCTCTGAAAATGTTACTTCATTTCTAAACATATTTCCATTAATTACACTCTCAAAATCAAAAGTTGTGGAAGAAGCCAAATGTTTCTAGTTGGACAACATAATGAATTGTGGTATATTCATCTTAAATTTAAGTAATTTATTTTAACAGACTGAGACTAATTATATCTCTAAAAATCCATAGAAAGGTAATTTGAATTTATCTTTTTTGATAGTGAATAGCTTTAACACTGTGTATGTTTCAAAAGCATTTTTCTAATGGCATGATGCAAAACATACCTAAATTAACACCAGAACCACCTGTAGATCAGGCTTCAACCACCGTGACTTTGTCAAGAATAAAATTCTCAAGTGATTTCTTATAAGATACGATGAGAAATGAAACACACACAGGTTCTCATTGATCACAGCTGGAGCCCACAAAGTAACATGTGAAAAGTGGCTGAAAGGGAACCCTTAAGGACTGCAAAAGACATGGTTATTGATTTACCAGGAACAGTCTTGCCAAGTTCAGATGAAGGAAAACAGAAAAATGGCATAACCTGGGTGTAATTCTTTTGAGGTAATGCACTATGTGAGTGAGAGCCGTGTTAGTCGTCTCTAGCATCCCTTCCTAAAGCATCTACATAATTTTAATTAAATAAATGGCTACAGTAAAAACTTAAAAGATCAGAATTACGGTGAATTATGAACTATAAATTACCATGTGTGCTGGTGTTTTTACCAAGGTAAAACTATGACATGTGCAATAAATGTCTTCCAAATTTTTAAATCTTAACTTATGAGGAGTATTTGTATAGACTGAAACTCAGAAAGGTGATGAACTTTAACTACAAAACTGCTCTCTCATTTAATTTATATAGATTAATTGAACTACATGAATGAATATATAACATACAGTCAAAGAGAAACATATTTCCTACAATTCTGCAATCCCTTTTGGGAAATGAGGGAATTGTGGTGTACCAAAAAAAAAATTTAATACTAAAACTGTTATTCTGGATTTTTTTTTCAAACCCAAAATTCATGAAAAAACTGTAATTCACAGTCAAAACTATAAACTGGCAATTAAATAAATCATTGTAATACTTATGGGCTTAGTACTAGTACTGAACTTATGGCTTAAATTACATACATGAGAGTAACCCTTTTCTAAGGGTATCAAAATACTAAACATAATTTGATTAGATCAAATTGCCTAGATTTGACCAATAATCTCTTTCAACCTTTAATTTTGACCAGTTTTGTATGAAAAAAAAAAATTTGCAAACAAAAACCTGCCCAACATTCTAGAGTAGGGAAAATAACTTTTTTGAACAACTCTTTCCTCAAAAGTCGCTTATATTGCACTATAGCATTTTATTGACCAATATAACATAAAATGTGTTTAATGTTGTAAATTTTGTTAATGTATTTATGCTTAAATTAACAATTTGAGTTAAATAAGTAGTCAGAAAATCAGTACATGGGGTTACTTTTTTGTTTGTGATCTACAGGTTTTATAGTTGACTAGGGCTTTTTTTTTCCTTACCTGGAACTCTCTTTGCCCAGTTGATCATGTGCACTAATTCTCTGTCTGCAAGGTTGGTCAACAGGGTCATCATAGAAGCTTCATTGAATGGTCTGTTTGGGTCATATTCAGAATAAACTAGGGGTGGCTCAGCTTCCAGCAAGGCACTGACCATCTGTTCTGCCGTCAGAGACAGGGCTGGGCTGTTCTTCTTGTTATGTTTAACCACCAGTGGACTTGTCCAAAGGGTGGGAGCTCGCAGCTCTGTTGAAGAAGCCTCCCCATTCCTGGAATCCTGCTCCTCTCTTTGGCGTTTTTGTTTCATCACTCGCCCACCTCTGCGGTCTTTCCGGATTCCTAGAGACACACAAGGATATAATGAGCTCCCTTCCTTGAACTTAAGTATTACATACACTTGGCTTCAGTCAACAGCAGATGCTTTTGATAGACCCAGGCAGCATTGATTCCATTTATTTTCTGAAGACTTCTTCAGGAATCTTACACCAGTAGTTGGACAGAAAAACTATCTTTTAAAGTACAGTGTCAGGAATAGTGCACTCCTCCCTACAATTCAAATCAATTGGGCTTACACAGAACTCTAGACTAGTGACACTGTACAGCTGCCTTAGCCCCAGAAAAGGAAGTTGGTTATTGGGAATAAATAAATACTTTTTTATAGCCTGAAACTTCAAAGTGTGTCACAACCTCTAGCAGAACATTATTCTATAAATAATCAATGATAAATTAATGATGTTGGAGGGGCAGACAGATCACAGAAGTAGCTTTTTTTGCTTAAGGTCACCAATTATTTTAATTAAACATCATCCTATTACTGAGCCTGTGATCTTCATAATTATATAAAAATACTCAAGAAAGTATCCATTATAAGATGAGTTTATATAGCAATAAAGAATGCCATTTAAGTAGATAAACATAAGTATGAAAAGGAGAGATAATTGCGACCTCAGATTCTAACGTGGGAGACCTACTGTCAAAAGGCTGAAATAACCACAACAGAAACCATTATTGTCATTACTGCACATTTCTGCAATGTGCTTTGCACTGTATGACCCTGAACCTTAGGATATTATCAAGTCAGCCATACCAATTCAAACAACATAAGACCTTTGCTGCGGAACAAAATCTCCCTTTGTGGAAGGGTTACAAGAAAAATATAATGATAAAGCCCACATGGACTCCAACCATAAAGGGCAGGTTAAGTCTGTCTCCAAGTGGAGGAGTAACAGGCATTTTGAGACTGAGTCAAAAACTTAAATCCATCATCAAGAGGAGGCAAGGGAGGACAACCAAGTAATAATGAAAGCACACAAGGAATTGAGATATGAGGAAAAGGCAGCTTATGATGAGGCTTATTCTGGAGTTCTCATGCAATAGGAAAAAGCAGCACTAGTCCCAGCTTGAAATAAAAGAGAAGTATCTACAGAGAATAAATATGTAAACCATTCAAGAAAGGGAAGAGAAAACATTTGAAAACAAACCAAACCAAAACAAAAACACTTGTCAGAAATCAGTACAGGTCTTTCTAACAGTTGGGGAAAGGGAAACACATTTGCTCAGCTGTCTTCACACACACAAAACTTCAAACCTTTAGAATTCCAGTCTTTGTTGGCAGCATTTTCATCTCATGCTTTCAAATACATGTTAGTCCTTTCCAGCCTCAAAGGAATAGGGAGAACCTTAAAATCTCTTTTCCTTTTTCTTCAACTATGGTAAGATTTTCATTGAATCAGTATTTGGAGATTAGGCATTTTATTATTAATTCATTCAAAATCTGCTGGGCTTTGTGATTCTATTCCATTAATCTATTCAGATAAAGGGAGTTCAATAAATCTTTCATCATTCCTATTTCTTAACCTATCTACATTTTCCCATTGACTAAACTATTTCTAAGCCAAAACTCTCAAGTGTGTTGCTGTTTCCGTTTTTCATTCAACAACGCCAATCTTTCCTACCACTAAACAGTTTCTTTTAAGAGGAGGGGGTGAGATTCTTGCTATTCAGAAAAACACAAATCTTATACTGGCAAATTGTCATTGTGGAGCTATTCTTACTGGTAACTTTCTTGCAATACTTGATAGCAAGTATGCTCTATTTGTAACAGATATTTTTGCTATATGCTTTCTATCAATTTAACGTTTTTGAATTAAAATTGCCCTGTGAAACATGTAAATATAATTACATGAAAAAGCCCACACGGTTCACAGAAACTAAAGCATTTGTTAACTTTCTCATATTCCAAATTTTACGGCTAGAAATCATCTAGAAATTTTCTTTCAAAGAGAAACCATCCTTAGGGTCTGTGGTGTTCAACAGACTCATAAATAGATAGGCTGACATAATTCATAAACAAGAATTTGGGGTTAGAAAAATACTATTAAAACATCAGATAAGTTTACAAAGTAAATAGAAGGCTAGAAATTACTGGGAAAGGAAGGGAGGACAGAACAACTTCATAAATCACAGAGTTTATTATCGTGAGGCACACTACAGTGAACACTGCATGCAGTTCTGTCCTTCGCAAATTAAAAAGAGATATAAAAATAAATGAAAAAGGGATAAGAGAAAAACAGATAAGGTGATTTGCAATGTGAAACAATTTTGGTGTAAGAAATATCTAAGTTGACTATGTCTGCTTGGCCTGCAAGCTAGATACAAGACTACAAAATCAGGAATAGCAAAAAGATGAATAAGATACAAAACACTAAAGCTTCTCTTCAAAGTCAAGAAGGTTTCAAATTAAAATACCCCATGCAAGAACCCTCAGAACTGACAGGAAGAGGTTCTTTTTCACACCATGGAGAAAGAAAACTGACAGTGTGAATAAATTAGAAGGTGGTATAGTTAGAAAGCTGCAGGTGAAATGTGATAGAGAACAGAATTCATTAAAGGTTAATGAATATAAGTAGGGCAACTTCAACACTAATTCTCCATCACATGGATTACTGGAAGATCAGAGTTTTTTGGGGTTTGCTTTTTTTACTTAGTCCAGGCCTGCCTTACTAAGTAAAACAAAGATGTGCTGAGGATTTTACATAACAGAGGAAAGGTGTCAAATGTAAGCATATTTAGCTGTTTACAAATAAACCAGATGTTAAATAAGAACAACAGTTTTATTTTTAATTCATCTGAAAGCCTACCACTGGCCTTTTTTCACCTTAGAACAAAATAAGTGGTGCATTAAGCAAAGCTGAACATAACCAGTTTGAAGGAGATGCCCCACACAAATTTATTTTTTGAATTTTTATTTTGGGATTTGAAAAAAATCAACCAACCAACCATAGCAATTTTGCTATTGGATTTAAGAGACCAAGTCTGAAAAAAAAAGTCAGTAAGAGTATGCATTTCTTCTGCATCACATCACCAGCTTTTATGATCACAGACAGAAAGGTCTCTGAACCTGTATAATTACTATATTCATCAGAGATTTATAGAACTTACTACTAACTCCTTACCTAAGCCCTAAATGGACAAGCAACAAACTTATTCATTTTCTTGGACTAAACAGGAGTGAGTATCTCTCTGAAAAATGCAAGTGCTCTCAAATCTCCTTCAACTTAATCAAATTTTATCTCTGTTAAAAAGAGATAATAGTGATGCACAGTCACTAAGTCCAAAAAAGGCAACTCTATCAAACCACAGTTTCCTTGCCAAAAGTGCAATTATTCTGTAAAGATTTTTTAAATATATGAATGCATCAATTTTAATTCAACAGTCCAGCCAATAAAGGGATCTTAATTGTCAAGTGTTATGAAAAACAATATTCTAGCAAAAATTGAAGTACTATGCATTTTGTAAGAACTCTAAAACAATTTCCACTTCAGTTTTAAAGCTGCAAGAGACAAGATTTTCAAAGGCAGCTTTATAAAGCTTCATATGTAAATTCAGTCAGACTTTTGGACATGGAGACAGGTTTCAAAACTGCAAAGTAATTATACATAATCACAAATCATTAGAACCTGATCAGCAATAAAATTGCATATGGACAATAAAAGTTCATATGACACTCCCATGGCAGGGGAGTTGGAACTAATGATCTTTAACGTCCTTTCTGTCTCAAGGTTCTATGAGCATATGCTTGTGAAAGAAATGTTAATTCTTATGAAATATTTCCCTAGTGTTTTCCCACATGTCATAAAAACAAAACTAAAAATAAATCCCAGATCATTAAAACAAAATATCCAAAATTAAAAATGCACTGAATGAGCATTGCATCTCAGCCATACAACAACCATTTTTCCCTACCTGTTGCTAATAACAAAGCTCCACTTTTATAACTTCAGTATTATATAAAGTATTCAAGAATATTTAGAGGAAGGAAATGAGGAGACCAATTAGAATCACATTTGCTCAGCTGTGTGTGAACTATAGAATCATGCATTTTAGATTTGAAGATACAGGTATAATATCAAATTTTATTCAAGTTAAATATATTCCCTGTGAACTAGTTTATATAACATTTTTCAATGTCTTTCTTGTTAGAAATTTGGTCAGTCAACAACAGTTTGTTGCCACATGGGGGGGTTTGTTTGTTTTGGTTTTTGTTTTTTTTTTTGCTTGTTTGTGTTCATTGTTTTTGTTTGGTTTGTTTTTTTCTTTTTGTTGGTTTTTTTTTCCCCATTTAAGAAGACAACATAAAAGATGGATCTATGACTGGGTTTGAAAACAGTGATGAGTAAATGGTTTACCAGCTAACTTTGCAACCTGGAACAACCTTTGAACCTAAGGCTCTTTGTCCACACTTCTGGTCCTTGTCAGCAGACCCCAGACTAGAGAGATTTGACGCTTTTATATACAGGCACAACCTTGTAGCATTAACAGCCTATAATTTTGTCAGTTTGTCAAAAGAGTGTTTCAAATGTGCTTGGAAACATCTTCTCTTCTAAACAATGTTGTTGCTCTTCAAGACCAACCTACCTCATTGGCATCCTGTTGAAAATTGCCAGAGAGAAAGAATCTCTAGTGTTTTGTAAAACAAACCCTGCTTGGCAATAAAAGACAAAATGTATGTGGTAAGTAAAAGATACTATAAATAAGAAGGTATCTGTCAGAGAGGCAAAGTCAATTGCCCCGCTGATGATCAGAGTGTTAAGGGGGAATGCACAGAACAGGCCATGGCAGAGATGTCACACAAATCCTTTACACCAGTGTTTGCAAAGGAAGAAAACAGGTTTTCCTAACACATAAACCTGCCTTTCTGAAACTGAAACTGGGTTTGAAGAGGCCAGAAATTCAAAAGCCCCTCTTCAAATGTCCAAGTATGGAAAGGATTTACTAAACAGTTAGGGGAAGTCCTCTGGGGCTGAGTGCAGGCCCACTTTGGTGTCATTGCTCCTGTA